GGATGCTGCACATTGGTGGTGGTGGAAGGGAGTCTCCATTACCTGTAAAGCGCTTTGAGTGGAGTGTCCAGAAAAGCGTTATATAAGTGTAAGCAATTATTATTATTATTAGTATCTTTTTCTTGATCTGGGCTTTATCTCTGCCTTGCTTTGAAAACATAAGTCTTTACGGTTGAGTCTTTGCTTGAATTTCAATCCCTGACCAAGGATCCTCACAGAGACAAGTGTGTTTATTCTAAAACAATGAGAAACAATATTATTGCACATACAGGCTCATTAAGGGAATAATAAATTAATTAAGGCCTGATACAGCAAAGAGTTGGAATACTTTTGCAATCTTAACTATTCAGCCTTTCTTTCAGACCAGTAATGTATTTACTGTTTTATGTTTTTTTTTATTTGAATTTGTGGAGTAGGTTGTGTATGTATATAACAAAAAATATTAAAGGAAACACTGAAAATATTCTCAAGGGTTGTAAAAGCGCTGTAAAAATATTTCAATCTAAACAGAAAACTGTGCATTAATTAATTAAAACACATTTCGTGGAAATAATAAAAAATTCAATCTAATTACATTCAGACCTATGTTTTTCTCTCAGTGATTTCTGATGACAAAAAGGGTGCACTCAAGTTAAAATCCAACACTTTAAAAACTTAAAAAAAGCTTAATTTTGTATCCCTCTTCTACCTGCCTTGTTTGTATCTAAACCTCTGAAGCCAGCAAATACTTTACTGTATATGGCAATTTTGCATTGCCTGTAGAAAAGGAAAAACTTTATTTGAAGTGCTGGGCTTACATCATCTTCTGGTTCATCACATTTTTGTTGGTTTAACAGTGAACAATTGGGGACCACAAAGCTAATATAATGTGAGTCATCATCATGCTTTAAACTAACAGATGCATATTCTTTAAGTTTCATCGATCAAAGATGTTCATACATTATGTTCTAACTGAATATAGTTCTCTAGGGTGTCCAAGTAAGCCAGAAAAAGAGGGCAAATCCTAGGTCTTACTGTTTATAGAAGATTTCTATTTGCATTGAGCTATTTTTAAGCCCTGACCTAGATGTGTTTCTTGTTGTAGTCACAGTAGAATTAAAAGGACAGGGGATTTCAATACATCCATACTCCCATTTTAGTAAAGCTAAAGCATATTATCAAAATATACTTTTTGACTTTCAAAACAAAGGATTAAAGGGACAAGTTATTTTTCCTAAGAACAAACCCACAGAATAACATTTTAAAAGATGTACATTGCCTTAATCCAGAACACTAAACCTTTAGCATAGAAGAATATATATTCAGAAATAAACAGCTGGCAGTTGTCATTACTACCTCTTAATACGGCTTTTGTGAAGCCAGCCATATCAGGGTTTCTCCATGTCCATCAAGCTCTGCTTTAATATGCCTCAGCACGTCATAGGCAGTCAGAAAACGCATTGAATTTTTGGATGATTAAAGAAATGTTTAACGTTTTTTAAGCACACTTTAGGGCATTTTGATATATTCTCTTCTGAATAAAAAGAACTTTTTATAATTCTTTTCAGAGCTTCATAACTGATAATAATAATATAATAATAAACTTTATCTATAGAGCACCTTTCATACAAATTGCAGCTCAAAGTGCTTTACAGACCAAGCGTAAAAATAAAATCTTAAAATTAAGAGATATACTTTCAGTTGTAAAGGAAAACACAGTAATACAGTAAAGCCACATAAATGTCAATTTATGCTTGAAAAAGAAATAAATAGAAATTAGGAAAGTTGTAATAAAATAAGAACAATAAAAGATAAATACAAAAGAAAGATAAATAGAAAGAACAAAGAACCATTTTAACTAAAAACGAAATTAAAAATATGTTTTCAAATGTTTGTTAAAACAATGTACCGAGCTTGACTGCCTAATAAAAAGTGGTAGTGAGTTCCATAATTTAGAAGCATAAAAACAAAAAGCAGCCTCTCCACTCTTTCTGTGTTTCACATGTGGTATTTGCAGTAGGCCAGTATTTGCAGATCTCAGGTCACGTATAGAAACATATAAAGACAGACATTCAGTAAGGTACATACAGTAGGTGCTAGGTCATTTAGAGCTTAAAAAACAAGTAAAAGAACTACATCCTAGATAATACAGGTAACCAGTGAAGTTCTTTCAAAACAGGAGTGATATGTGTTCTCTTGTTTTTGTTAGGATCCGTGCTGCTGCATTTTGAACAACTTGTAAGGGATTTATTGTTTTCTTGGGAAGCCCACTAAACAGAGCATTACAATAACTGATTCTACTGGTAACAAATGCATGGACAACTTTTTCTGCATCACTCTGGGATAAATAAGGTCTAACTTTTGCAATGTTTCTTAAATAATAGGATGCAACTTTAGTAACCTTATTTATGTGAGGGTCTAAACAAAGATCAGAATCTAGAGTTATACCCAGGTTTCGTACTTCAGATTTAACACATGAAGCAAAAGACATGGACACATGGACACCCACTGAGAAATATCTAACACACAGCCAATTAGTCTGTTGACCATAATAAACCATAAAGACTTCATAAATGTCTTCATAAATAATTTTAATGATATTCTACACTTTGGTCACAAACCTTTTTAAGCACCAATCAAAGAGGTGTTTCGGACAGCATATCTTTTTGGTCTCAATATTCTTGATAAGCCGAAAATACACTATTCTAGATTCTGTAAGAGTTCAATTGTAAGTATATATCTTTAGAACAGTGCAATACATTTCTATTATTAGTAGAGCACAGACTGTACCTAAAGAAAAACGTGATATTACCTTCCAATTTCAATTTTAAGTCTAAAAAAGTCTAAACAGAGTGTCTAAAGGTATTTGGTATCTCATGATATCTCATGACATGATTCAGAACAACAATGATCAGCTGCAATGAAACATTTCCACAGTCAAAATGTTCTTGGTGAACATATAAAGCTCAATTTAAGCAAAATTAAATTTAAAAATTACATCCCTTTGGATCCTGTGAAGTCAATTTACAGTATATTCTTAGTAGTCACATTTCTCAAATATTCTAAGGTCTACGGTCTGCTCAAATACTTTCTTCAGAGTTTTCTCTTTGTAAAGAAAAGTCACAAGAGTTTTAAAAGGTAACTGTAAATGTCATGTATAGTGGTGCTAGAAAGTTTGCGAACCCTTTAGAATTATTTGAATTTCTGCATAAATTTGACCTAAAATGTGACCAGATCTTCATCTAAGTCATAAATTCAGAAAACTTTCTAGCACCACTGTAAGTTGATTTAAATTTTTTCTTCAAAACCAAATTCAAGAAATTCACATTATTCTATTGTTTGCTATACAAAGAGCAGTTTTTTTTACAAGCAGCATCTGTTAAAAAAATTTACATATTACCTGACCTGATCACCATTAAAATACTCATCTTATAACACATCACAATGATTGCTATGTCCAAGGAGTCACGGGGTTTCAGAGGGATCCACTGTGCCTGGGGAGTTATGGAGATCCGCTGTGCCTGGGGAGTCATGGGTATTTACTATGCTTGGGGAGTCACAGATAATTACAGAGATCTGCTGTGCCCAGGGAGTCACAGGGATTGCTGTGTTGGTGAAGTCACAGGGATCTGCTGTCACGGGGAATTGTGGACATCTGGTGTGCCCTACTGCTGCTGGAATTACAGGGATCTGTGGAGAGTCACTGGGATTGCTGTGTTGGCGGAGTCACAAGGATCTGCTGCGCCTGGGGAGTCACGTGAATTTCTATGTTGCTGAGGACCTGAGAGAGGCCTGGCCATCTAATCACAGCCCTTCCTCTTGCAGTGCACAACCAGTTGTTCTTACAGAAATTAGGTAAAACTATCTAGGAAAATCATTTATACTTCCTAATCATCTCCTGAATGCATTTTTAGAATGCAGAAATAAACTTGTCACTTCTATGATACATACAAAAATTACATCTTTGGTAGAATATGAGAGTAAGAGTCATCTCTGGCAGTCACCCCCATAGGAAACATGTAATATTTGCTTACTTCAGCAGCTCCAGGGTTTTGTGGTCCAAGGCCAATCTGGGGTTTCCAGTAAGGTCAAGCTCCTGCAGTTTGGGAGGAAGGCTCTCTGGCAACGTGATCTCGCTTAGCTCATTGCAGCTCAGGTCAACGCACTGTACAAAGAGAGAACAGAACACTAGGGTTGGAGGAGTGCCAGCTGCACAGGACTCCCTGCACCCCAGGTGCAAGCTGGGGCTACACATTACTTCTCAGATCCTAACTCTGTAGCACTGTACCGGCCCTGCTTATCTGAAACTCCATAACTCTGCTTTAACATGCTCAGAAAAAAAAAAGCTATAGGATTTGTCAAAGTTTTGTAAAATGTGCTGGTTTTTACTGAAAATGGGTGTAGTGCAGTTAAAAGAAAACCAAATGAAAAGTGCACTACTGGAAAAAAAATATAACATGCTTCATTCAGATCTTTTCTGTTATTGCTGAAAGGTTGTCTTATGCTTTGAGACAAGACTGACAAATTTATGACCTACTTCAGAATAGATCTGTGTACTGCTTTCAAGAAGTATGCGTTTTACGTACATGACCAGCAACAGTGGTATTGTGTTTAAAAGCAGGATGTACAAGGACATTGTATTACCTCAGATATTGGTTATATGGGTTATTTATCATAATATCAGAAATACAGAAGCAAATACTGCATTTCAACTTCAAACAAAGACAGGAATCATCGTTTTTTTTAACCTAATTGTTTCAATCAGTTTTGTCCATATGAATGGGAAGAAAAATGTATCCACAAGCTTTGGTCATTTGTTTGTGTAATGAAATATTTTCTTATCATAATATCACTATATAATTTAGGAGCACTGCAATTTAAGTTTTTTAATTTTTAAGTCTTGTTTTTTAAACCAATTTACTACGAAGTCTAACAGCACCAAATTGGGAAATACTGAATTACCTTTGACAGAACCTAATTCTAAGCAGATACGTCATCAAAGTAATTGTCAGCAGGTCATGTTTTCTATCTTCCTAAAATACACTTTCGGAGAACAAAAGCAGTTTTGCAATGTTTACAATACGAGTGACTTACAGGCCAGTGGTTCCCAGCCTTGGTCCTGGGAGACCCCTATATCTGCTGGTTTTTATGTCAACTAAACTCTCCAGTACTAATTGAAGCCTTTGAGTGGTCTGTATTTTGGCTTACTGGCACTCAGTCCCAGTTTCCAGAAGCTCAAATATATAGACATTGAAGTTACTCCTCAATATACTTAGCCTTATTTTAGTCTAAAGATCTAATTGAAAGATTTATTTATGATATATAGATATGGGCAGATTTTACAATTTAAGTTTTTTCCCCATTCTTTGGAGGTCTAGTTGGCCACATTTCATACAGCACATGTGAATGAGGACAGTAATGAAAACAAGCATTGGCTCAGGATAGATGACAACTACAACTCACATTTAACGTTTAAACAGCTGAAAGGAAATTCAAATATATTGCCCAGATGAAAAACTAAAATGTATTAGGCTATGATTAAGAAAGATGTCGGAGCAAAAACCTGAAGACGCAAGGTTCCCTGGGAAGAGGGATAGGAAATTCTGTATAGACATACGGAAGAGAGTGAAAACACAAACAGTACTTTTAGATCTAGACACTATTTTTCTTACGAAAATGAGGCCGGTAATGTTACTGTTCCACTTTCATTATCCCACAGTGCCACTAGAGCTATTTCCATTTAGGTATCCATCATTGAAAATTCTAATCTATAGGATAGCTTCTCTCTCCCTGCCTGTGTGCCTGTGTGTCTCAAGGAGAGCAAGCTGGGGTATGCAAAAAGACAAATTCCTAATGCAAGCAATTGTATATGGCTAATAAAGTGATCTTAAATTATGACAGGTGATTACAATTCTATGTAACAATCAATAAAACCAAGTTTTTTCAAAATATGATAACATAGTCAAATCTGTTCTGTTAGTGTTATGTACATCCATGATGTCCTGACTGTGTACATAACATGAACTGTAAATACTTATCTTGAAAACACAGCCCTCTCACAATAATACTTTAGTATTAACAATAAACAGTACCATTAGCAGCTTTAAAAACATTGTTTTGTGTTTCTTTCTTTTACAAACTGCATCCCCTTCCTTACTCTTAACAGAAATAAAATGAAGGAGTTTAAGCACAAAATGTGTGCATGTTTATAAAACTGCTGCATTCTTAGTACAAGAGATACTACCGCACTTCACCTATGGGTACTGTTCAGAAAATTAAGTAATAACTCGGAAACAAATTAAACGAGGAAGGATGTGCCCTAGCCTCAAGGACATTTTCGAAATTTGTGCCAATGAACTACATATACTGTATGTGAACATATTGGACTCCTAACTGTAATGGTCAACCTTCTATCATCAGAATCAAAGCACTTAACATCTAAAACTAGGCTCACTTGTAATGTGTCAATTTACAAAGCAGACGGATAATTTGGTGGCTGACGTCTCTATAGTGTTAGGCTGTGAAAGATTAAAAGTGACAAGCAATTATTAAAATTATGATGCCTAGATATTAGATCAGATTCTACAGAATCTGTAATGAACCACTGCCCTGCTTTGAAGAATAAAACAGACAACATGAGTGCAGGAAGTGGGAGAATCAAAATAGCAATATGGGTACCTCAGACCTTGAACTGTTTTAACATTTACAATTTAACTTATTCTGTTCTGCTGGGGCAAAGAAGAACAGAATGTTTAGTCAGCAAACTGTTTATTTACAATACTGAAAGAATAAAACAGTAAAGAGTTGTTTTTTATTTTTTTTGTTTAAGGATTAATATTACCATCAAACCATATTTAATTCCTATAAATCTTTACTGTCAGAACTTGACAGCTCTCCTTTTAAAAAACAATGCAATAATTAAGAATGTGCCCAAAGACCGTGTGAAGAGCAATGCCTGACAAGGAAACATCCTTTGGTTTACAATACAGAAATTAAAATAATTGTTTAAAATACTCACTAAGGCTTTAAGAATTTAGGCTTTGTATTATGAGAAGTAGCATTGTAGTATGAGTACAGGTCTGGCTAATGGCAGGAAGCATACTGTATATTAGTACTAGAATATAATTAAATGAAGAGACAGTCCTCAAGAAAATTCATTAATCCATCACCTTGAACAAACAATACAAGAATAATAAAAAGAACATAACACTGTGGGATTATAGCCACTAAGATCAGTCATTTTTATATCTAAAACTGCCAGAAAATGTGAGAATATGAAGTGAATTAAGCACCTGCACACTTATACAAAAGTATAAGGACACCACATTTTTATTTTGATAAAAACTTTTATGTGTATGAGAGAGTAGGTATATATTCAATGGGTACATTAACAGTAAGGCTATCTTAACAATTTTGTACCTTTTTTTAAAAATACGTGTGAGAAAGAGGGAAAATTGCAGTATTATAATTAGAAAGAAGTGACACATGATACTGCACACTGGTCCAATGGTTAGTAGACATTTATCAATCCACATTACTTTGTCATTCATTTTATGTTTGGTGAAAAATCTGTGCTTTTTAACCATCACAGATATAAAAGATCAAGTGGAATTATGATAAATGGGAAGAATTATTCATTATGTTTCTGTGGAGACACTGAAAAATCTGCAAGCATCAACTGAAAGCAAATGCTGAAAGATATCATGTGCATCTACTGATCAAACCAGTTGACTATCTGAATAAGCTCTTAATTTTACGGGTTGTAAAACACAGTGATAAACCCTATCAACATCAAATATTACCTTATCATGTATCAGTGATAACCATCATCACCTGGTAACTTACAACTTATTGACCTTTCATAAAATACAATATTTTAAGTACCTTTGGTATTATCTTATCCATACTTTCAGATTCTTTACTAAAGAGACTAGTTTCCCTGAAAAGGCTAAATAAAATGCTTGGGTCAAGATATAATTCTACAGTTAATACAATAACATGACTTTTGAAAACCAAACTAACAACATGTACATCTCAGATTAATGATTGTAAAATGCTCTGCCTCTGTTTTATTATATATAAATGTTGGGAAAAATGTAGTCCTTACAGGTGAAAAGTCAAAATTTCAGCTACTGCTAAAGAAACTAAACCTCCTAAAGTTTATTTCTTTCCCTAGTGCTAAGGACAATTCAATACAAAACAGACCAGAATCTAAAAAATGTATATGCCAGTCATGGAGCTCAATAATAAAAATATTATTTTAAAATTTAAAGTGATCATTACAAAGAAAGAATAATTGGGTTTTCCTCTGAAGCTCAACCATTTTATATTAAATATTGAAAGTATTGACTAAAAACATTTCTGAACAGACTAAACAAAAGGCATGTGACTATGGAAATGGTTGGAGAGATTGAACGTAATAGTTAGCACAAATCTGTAAAGTAACTTTTTTTCACTCTACAGCCCCTGTTAATACTATTGATATTTCACAGATTGTCCAGATTACAGAATCTGGGCTGGGAAGTTTCACGAGTGGAGGGTGCTGTTAGCCTTGACCTGATGGAGCCCAAATTAGTTTGTGTTGGAAAGTAGTGGGTCTTGGTCAGTTCTGTAAACAAGACTTAATTACCCAGTAAATCTATATAAAATACAATGTTCTGCTGAACTGGCTAATCAGCATCTACAGAGTTAATTTAAAAATGATCTCCAATAAATATAAGGATTTAGAGATTTTGTTCTTTAAGTCACAAACATTTTTCTTGAAAAATTTGCAATACACTTATAATTTCTGTAAGTGTAATGTGCCTTAAAAGTTATGCGAATAATATTCTTATGAAGTTGTTCAACATGATTCCTAACTTTGCTTGACTGCTGTAGCTTTAAAAACCTTACTAGCCCCACTAAATATGATCTTTACATTATAGCGTTTTAACTGTTTGAATATAAATGAGCAAACTGGATGGCAAAAAACCCTCTATAATATTTACATCATTTGTAAGACAGTCTATACCACAAATAACTTAGCCCATCATATAAATGAAATGATACTTTGATATGGTTCCAAGAGCAGATCTAAGAAACATGCTGATGTTCTTAGAACGATTTTCTAATCATCACTATCAATCTGTTCTATGGCAGACGCTGTTTTGCAGAAAGGAACACGATGCAGCTACTAAATGTTTTCATGATTTTTTCCTCTACAAGGCTATCCAAACAGGAATTACCATTGTCCTTTTGATTGTCATTTGATTCTGTGCCTCATAACTATTCATATATTGGCCACATAATGACAATCATCATAAATGAACTACTGACCTACTTTTTTAAAAGTAATGCTTGATTTCATGCTATAAATTGTAGACATAAAATGTGTGAATAATCAAAATCTTGTCAATGGACTCATATTCTCTATACTGAAACAGATCTAAACAGAAATAAAATCTTTCAATATCCAAGATCTTAAGAGGTCACTACTCTTAACTACCAAACCTAAATCTCTGCCGTAAGAATGTCACAAATGTCAAAGACATGGAATGATTTTGCCATTTTCATTAGGGTTAATGTTTATTCTTTCTCACAACAGAAAACGCCCTTAATGGGATCAGTAAGATCATAGCTCTTTAAATATTGTTTTGCCACCTGAGAGTCTTAAAAATTGATTAAGCTGCTAAAATAAAAATCATAGGTAACTTAGCTCTTTGAGATTAGAACAATCAGGGATGAATATGGAGTGTTGTGATGAAACATTTTCTGTTTGTTGTAACATCTTTTAAAACATAATCAGGATCACAAAGTAAATAAATGAACTTGCCACAGAATGAGGGAAGTATGGATTTACCTTCATCTCCATGAGTTGCATCACTTCAGGAAAGACTTCAATACAGTTGGAATGTGCAATGACTGTGTGCATCCGTCTGCAGTTCATTATGGTTGTTGGAATTGCCTTTAGTTTGTTCCCACTCAAGTCCACTTCATCCAGTTCTTCAAGTTTTGCCATTTTACTGAATCAAAGGCAGAAAGCGGTAACCCTCATTTCCAATCAGTCAAAACCAACATAGTAGTTGGCCATCATGTATTACAGAGCAATTTTCAGAAGACATTCATTTAACCAATTATGCCACAATGTGGGTCAGTCACAAAATGAATAAAGTGTTGAGAAACTAATTTCACAAACAGATATAAATAATTCAATCAATGGTTTCTTTATCACCAGAATGTTTATAGTCAAGTGAATTAAATACTTCAAACATTAAAAAAATACCATCCAAATGTACACAAAAGATCAAATCTTATCACACACACACACACATATGTTAGGAGACCCATCCATTCATTTTCTAACTGCTTCTTCCAATTCAGGGTCACGGGGGAGCAGGAGCCTACAGTATCCTAGCAAGCAACAAGTGCAAACTGGGGTACACACGCCAGTCCATAGCAGGGAAGACAGACACAAACACACATACCTAGGGCCAGTTTTCCTGGAAGTCAGTTAGCCTAGCGGTACATGTGTGTCTTTGGACTGTGGGGCAAAACTAGAACACTTTGAGGAAGCCCACACGAAGACAGGGAAAACATACAAACTCCACATAGATAGTACACCAGGTCTGAAATAAAACCTGGGGCCCCAGTGCTGTGAGGCAGCAATGTTAACCACTGCACCACTGTGCCACCCTATATTAGGAGATGTCCCATCAAAATGCACTTTTCTGCACTTCCACACAAACTAACAGCAGGATAAAAACGCAATCAGAGTTAATGGAAGGAGGTATTTTAAACCCTTGCAAAACGTATAACTTAGTTTTTTTGTAAACAATGTCGCCCTAATAGAAACACATTTACAATAATGACATTTTGGATGCATGACTGATATATAAAGATGTGGGATATTGGTAATAGCTTCAATACCGATACATACATAAACCATTTTAAACTATTTTACAAATAAAAATAACTTTTATCAATGTCAAACTGGCGCTCACCTTCCTGCACACACCTTATAATCTGCATTGTAACATTCATACTGATATTGACATTTTTGCCACTTTTAATTGCAGCCTTCTTTGCAGACATGGTGAGTTGAAAGCACTTAGGCAACAGTGAAAATAAAGTAAAGCAAAATTAGCACACACTTCACACCCCACTCGCTCTATTTAGCCAAGTGCTTAACATGGAAATGACCATGACGTGTTTTTCTCCCAGATATTACAGCTTATTGATTTTCATTTTTTATATATTTTTTAGTTTTAATTTTATTTTCTTAAACAATAATTGTATTCTTTTCTTCTCAGATGAGCATGGTTGTGAAAAAAATGATCTAATATTTCTAAAAGGTATGCCTCTACATACCTTTCACATTATAGACCTGACCATCTGTGAATCCAGGAGTTTAGGAAACCGGAGTAGACCAGCAGTGTGCAGAAATGTATGTAGGAGGCTTTGTGGAAAAGAGGGTCTCACCTGGCTGGAAAGCTTTGTAAGTAGTTATAGGCCATATGCAGGACTCGGAGGTGGCAGTGGCCTGTCAGTAAGGGTACACATTTGTCAGTGAGGCGGTTGTTGGTGAGATACAGCTCCTGCAAGATGCTGTGGCTCTCTTCAGACAGGCTGGAAGGGGGGAGCATCTCCAGTTTGTTGGCAGAGGCATTCAAACACCGTAAACTGCAAAAAAAAAAGTTGAGGACAATCCCATAAGTAAAAAGAAAATACCATTCCCCCAAAATAGATCTTCTCTATAAGTGAAAGCGAACAGGTGAAAAACAAATCACAATGTGTGAGTGTACAAAGGAATCCTTACAACAGACAGTCTTGTGACTTATGTACTGTAGCAAGGCCGCACATGAAAGAAGACCACCCGGCTCAGCTTTTCTAATTGACACTGGTTAATTAATCTGAGTATTTAATCAACATCCAGTATATAAGTGTTATCAGCAAGGCTGGCTTGTTTTTCCCCATACTCATCCTCTTAATTAGCACTTTGTTCTGTTCTTTGTTTCAATACTGGTGCACGAGTAAGCCATTGAATTGACAAGGTACCTTTTTAGGAGATTAATCATTCAAAAACTTCTACAGGTTTTTTCTGACAGCCTAGTTTACATGGACAGAAAGGAAGGAGAAATGTAAAATGTAAAGTAAAATTCTTCTACATAATGTATTCTTAATGTTTGCTGTAAAGTATTTTGAAAATCTAGGATCTGAAAAAATGTTGAGACCATTTCTTAACCATTGTACTGTAAATATGTACAGAAACAACACATATGCAACAATGGGACGAATAATTAACACATATTCAGATTATTATTTTTTCAGGCAGTCAGAAAATGACTTTGTCCATTCCACTGTCATTTTTGATACACTTTTCATCAGTGTAAATACAGCATCTAATTTTTTTTGTATTTTGTCAGTGAACAGAAGCCAGACCCAGTTCTATCGGCTGCTGTGTCAGTTTTGACATTGTGCTGTTCAATCACTTCTCTTCTCTAAAATTTATGCTGACTGCTGGAACATCAACCCAGAAAAGGTTGTTTTTTTCTGACAGCAGCTCAGAAGTTGGAAGAAGCAAAAAAAAAAAGAGGTGAAATATTTTGACAACAGAAGACAATAAGATTTTCCTTGTATTCCTGCAATGGAGTTTAATTTAATAATCCAGTAAGTGCAAAAATCCAAAAGAACACTTTTGGAGAGTTTCTGTGTTTGGTTTCAAGCTGTCAACAGTCAAAACAAGCAGCTTAAAAGGAGGCAGGCTAAAATGTTTCACTTGATTAAGCAAAAAAGAAGTCTGTTGAGTTCCTGAAAAAAAGGAAGAGCTATAGTGAACAGCAGATTGTTAGAACAAACTTAGATTCACTTCAATGCTTTATGAAATGTCCACATTTCAACAGTAATAGAGTTTTTAATACTCCATCCCACAACAAAAAGGCACACTGCAGCCTTAAACGTGTAATTGTTTGAAATTAAGTCTCTGTACTAGTTTAGCTAAATCACTGAAAATACTTCGAGAGTCAGTTCAGGGAGAATAAGACTACATAGAATACCTCTTTAATACAACAATAATGAGCTTTATCTTATGAAGCTCCACTTATAGTATATCATCTAAATTAAATCTATTTTTCAATAAGACTTTAAGAGCATGCTGAAAATCACTGATGCACTTTACCTAGTGCTGCCACAGCTATTAAATAACATACCTATTATTTTTCTTTCCTTAGGTAAAAAGTTGTCAACAATTTTATGAAAATCCCCTCACTTCCAAGATTTTATGTGCTCTGGTTCTGCCCTTAGTGTGTCAAGCTCTTTCTGCATATCTTCAGCCCTTCACAAAGACTGACATCTATTTTATTGCTGTATCAGCAGTAAAAAGATATGAGAAACAACAGCCATCCAAAGCCCTTACATGTTTGTCTTTATATTTATTTTCTGTTTCACTCAAAATTACAGAAAATCTTTATGCGTATCACATTCTCCCCCAAAAATAAAAAAAAATGCAGAAACTGTAACGCTACAACATAATAAATCACAGCATGCCTCATTTCACCCAAATGAAGACAAACAAACAGAGCCTATTTATTGAAGATCATATGATGAGATCAAATGGTCTATCATAATCACAAACATACGGCTCCATACATTGGATTACATAAACAACTTTTTATGACCTAACTTTCTGTTACTAACTTTTTGACGGGAATAATCTTTGCTGGGTCAGCAATTCACCACAGCTGGGGAGAGGGGGGGGGGGATGAATAACAGTAAAAATATCTCACCCAAAGTAAAAGACATAAGCACAAGAAGAACATTATGACTCAAACTGAAGTATACACCTTTGCACTCACTGCTGGAGTGTTTGGCTGATCAACTATGTGCTGATGCGGCAGCAAAATACTTTCCTCCTAATGAAGAAATTACAAATGGGCACTCACATTCAGCAGAGGTAACTTAGGTTTAAAGACAGAATAAATGCTAGGAGCTGGTACATTACAACTGATACAGAGGCATTTCAGCACTGTCTGCATGGATTTTTAATTTGCCTTATACGTTTCTCTGAAAAGAGAATCTATTATTATCAGCCGACAATTTTACCTGACTTTTGTGGGCTTATTTGGGAGGCAGTGGCCTTGGGTTCTGTGGTCACCCTTAAAGAACTGGAAGAAAGACTCCTTGCTGACATCTATCAGCGGTGTGACTCCTGTCACAGGCCCCTGCCTGCACACGCTGTGAAACATGAAGTATAATGACAGGGTTTGGCTCCAGCGTGCTCACCTGTCGGCCTTGAGAAAGAGGTTGGAGGGCAGCTCCTGCAGCTGGTTGTGCTGCACGTCCAGCACCTCCAGCTGTGTGCGCTCCAGTCTCTCGGGCAGCCGGCGCAGCTGGTTGTGTCCCGCCAGAAGCTTCCGCAGGCTGCTGTTGCAGAACAGCCTGCAATATCAAAGGCAACACACCGTCGTCTGTCAAAATGTATTTCGCTATCCACCTGGCCTGTACATAGAGAGTAGCAGAGTCACGTAGGAACTGGTCGGGGACTTGTCCCCAGTAATTTGTGCAAACACACTGACATTTGTAAATACATTATTTAAGACAAAATGCTCAACACCACACTACAAGCATTATGTTATGTTAAAAGAAACCATTCACATTCTCATTAGATGTTTCCAATGTTTACTACATGACAGCAAAAATGGCAAAATAGTTCTAAGCACTCTAACCTTCTAAAAACATTAATAATGCACTAGTGGGATTGCAGGCTACTGTAAATGCAAATAGTGCTGTTCACCATATGCCACATGCAATGATGGTGTAAAATACATAGAGGTTTGACTGGGATTTTTATTTTAAAAAAAGTGTTTGCAGAAGAAAAGCACTTCATGATTTAAATATTTTTGCAGGAGCTCTGACAGCAAAAGCCTGCAGTAAAAAGGAAAAAAAATGTATTTCTTTTTACAGGACAGGTATTGGAAAATATGAACACAAGAATACTGAATTCACAGGCTTGCGATTATGTGTCTGGGTTTTGATCACTTTTCAGGGTCTGAACTAAGGGTTTCACTAAGACAAGCATAATCTGTGCCAGGTAAGAAAATTCTGGTGCAATGGGGGAATGAGGGTGATGCACAAAAGAAAAACAAGTCCCTTAATAACAAAACACTACACAACCAAACAAGAGATCCACCCCCAGATCAGATGAAGAGATTAAAGTCTATCGAGTTTCGCTTCTGAAGGAAAGTCATTACAGCCTTTATTATAGGACTGAGATTACTCTACATTGGCCACCTGGCTCGTTCTTTCAGGACCCCATTGTTAAAGCAATAGCCTACCATGGCTTTCCATCCATTTGGTTGTTCTCAGGTTACAAAAGCAGCAGTCCTGCAGCAGGCACTGTGTGATGTGCTAATGCTTTTCATCTCCTTAACAACCAAACCACGAACAAACCAAATTTCTGCCCATTTTGTTTGAATATACTGTATTTTTTATGATGCCTTCAGACCGCTGACAAGCAGTACTCATTAAAACACTGCTGTAAGTCATGCTGCTGAAAAGTGATAAAAAAGTGTGTGACAGGTTTCCACCTAGAATTTTCCTGTAAGGTTGTTTCCCAAATCTAATTAAATCTCCTAAGTGTGTGTGTAAGTGGAGCATGCAATGCTCTGTCTAATCCAAAACGTTTTGTGTTTGGGATTGGGTTTGGTGGCTCCCAGTGATAGAGCCTCGGCAACTCCCTAAGTGCCTGCAGGCATGTTGTGACACCTACTGAACCACCTGCACATTGGTAGAGATTGTAGCATGTCAAAAGATGAATGACGTGATGAGTGGACAGCTCAGAGAAACCCATATATACTGCCTTATTCTCCCATTATGAGTTGTTGCAAGGTGAGAAGCGAAGGCACAACTGGCACTTACAAACTGGGTGGCACATAAGAAAACAACGATTAAATAATAAGAAACAGTTTAAAAATGTTGGCGCAATTCAATTTGAATGAGTTGAATAGACTGCACTGCAGTCTACTCTCTGTGCTACTGACAAGGCACTGTAGATCAGAGATGTGTGCAGCCAAACTGAAATTTATGAAAAACAACATACTTTGCCTTCCTGGGAAGAGTGGTATGGACACATATAATTAAAGTTACCCTGATATTATTGATTTTAATAAACAAATTCGGTATTAAACATTAGTGCTGGTACAAAATGAAAGCAAAAGTACAAAGTAACATGCATCAATAAATAGCAAATGGATTGGTTCTAGTACAATCTAGATAACTATGTTCTCTATTGTTGGTTTTAGAACAGCCTGCATATAATCAACACAAATATGTGTTTATGTACTTTAAGGCAATGACAGCATGTATGTGAACATGGGTGGGGGGGACGGGACAGGATGGCATGCTATTTTGAAGATGTAGTTTTAAAGTAATTATATTCAACACAACTACCAGGAACTTGAAGTTTCAGTATTTTACCATGTTTGTATTACAAGGATAATTTAGTATTCAGAGTTCTCATGTTGGGGAGGAAGACAATCAAGTGCAGTTATGAAGCCTGACTACCTGACATCAATCTCAACCCAGCAAAGCATGTGCTTTGATAATCCCTCATTGGATTACGCAATGAAATGTAGTGTAGTGAGCCAAAAGGCCATGGTGATGAATTCATTATTGACAACCACCTTTGGTGAATCCAAAGAATGAGAAAACAAAAATTGAGATTCAACAAGGCTACAATTAGTGTATACATGTGTATGAAAGCTACCTAATTATATAAGCATACATAATTATAATACGAAGCTTAATTTAGCAAGAATAAAACCATTGTTTGGCTCATTTTACATATGAGCCAATAAAAAAACATTTGGTTACATATTCACTCTTGAGGCTGTCCTGCTTTGAATACCTTTTACAGTCCTTGCCTGTTTTGGTCTCATCTTCAATCCCATTACATCATGCAACCATGAAGCAGTACAAAACTGATCCTATCAGCATATTAATTGCTTTTTAGTCTTGTCTAGGCATACTTGAAGGGACTGGAAACAGTCCACCGTAAAGTGGAAGGACTACCTTTATGACACTGCTGTCATAAAGCCAGCAATGGTCTGGTGAGAACTTGCAAAATAAATGTATCTTTAGATAACACAGTGAAACTGTGGTGAGTAAAATCACACAGTAGAATTAACCCGGTCAGCCAACTGTCTCAGACAAGGTAATCCAGGTCAATGTAGCAGGACAAGTTTTTAATAACTTCAATATCAGGGTCAGGGACTCAACTGACAGTCACTGTTATTAAAACCACACTCACTTTATGAACTGGTTTACCTGGAGTTAGTTGCACTTCCTTTCCATGACAACGCAAAAAGTGAGAATACTCCATGGACGTAACCAGCAATGCTAAACTCTGTATGTGGATAAGGCAAGGCAGACTAACTTTCCCAGTGTTACATATTTCCACTGTCGGCATTTCTGTACAACAGCATTAACACTGAAGGGTGGATTAAAATCATAGCACAGGGATGGAAAACACAAAGCAACACCATCATACTCCCTGGAGCCTGCCATGACCCACTTCAAAACACTGGATGGCCATGGAATGTGTGAATAACTTTGATAGCCTTCGATTAAACCCAATGCATTCCTATCACGATCACATCTATACATGTTCTAATAGCTTGGGCTATAAAATTGGAAATAAAAGATTTCTCATGACTTGGGGCTACCCAGCCATGAAATTAGAAATCACTCCTGCCACTGTACTCCAGTGCGGCAAAGCTGTGGAGCACACGACTCTGCACTCACCGTACTGGCAGCTCACAGATCTGGTTGTGGCCGATGTCCAACACTTCCAGTTTCTTGCTCTCACCTACCCATTCAGGCAAGCTCTCCAGTTGGTTTCTAGATTGAGAAAGGTCAGAGAAAGAGTTACGCAAGACACAAAGAAGTGAAGGCTTGTCGAGTTGAAAAAACAAAAAAATATATAGTTTAAACACTGTGGTGTTTTCTTGTGTTGTGAAGGTTAACATTTTTTCAACAGAAAGTTTAAGATTTAAATCCCGACCTTCGTAACCCCTCAGATAACCCCTCAATACAAACACTAAAATAATGAGCATTAATACAGCTGTTACTAGGGCTTGTGAAGTACTCAAATAATTGCCTTTAATTTTTTTTCAAGTTCTTACCTTGAGACATCCATAAAGGTCAGGTTACAGGGCACAGGATATACTTCGAGCTGAGAAAGCTCTGAAAGAAGCACAGACATTACGTTCTACAACACTGAATAGATGTCTGAAATGCAAACAGTGAGGATAATTTTGTATTACATGGTTTAAATTTTTTTTCAGAGATTCTGGTTTCTTATCACAGAAAATCAATGGCCTTTTTACACAGGAACACCAGAGTTTCCTCGGCACAGCTCAGTCACGAACACGGCACAGTTTGTACTTTCAACAGTCAAAGGAGCCGAGCTGTGTTAGGAAGATTCTGTGATGTTCCATCTGACCTGGGGTCTGCTAGGTTGTACCAGTGTTAAAAAGCTATTTGGTTGCCCCTGAAATTCAATATGAGTGATTCGAACATAACTCTATCTTTGACTCTAGTTTTTTCACTTCTATAACTTAATGAAAATGCTTTTCCAAATAGGGGTGTTGGGCTCTTTTTGTTTTAAAGCAACCGTCTCTTACTGTTGGTTGATGCGTAGAGTCCTTTCAGGAGACAGCCGTTAACTTTTAGAGTAGTCAGCTGGTTCCTCTCACAGTGTACCACCTCCAGTTTGGTGAAAACAGTAGCATCCACCTCCTGCAGCTGGTTGTCTCGTAGGTCCAAGTGAGTGATATGTCGAAGAAATTCTGGCTCCTCTGGGATCACCCTACAGATCTTATTCAGCCTGGTCAAGGACAGATCAGGACAAAACATCAAAGCTCCTCCTAAAGAACACTTCCAGAAATATCTAAACAAAATAAATGTTGCCTTGCTATTCCAAATCGCAAGGCTGAAAGAGCTGTGTAGATACACACAATGAGTACCACTAAGACATTATGCTGAATCATAGACCTTAAATTAAAAATGTCCTCTATGACGTTACTGAGTGCTTTATCTATGGTTGATTTTATGTTTTATGTTTAGGGTACTAGCTGATACTTTGATTCATAAATAAAATAAGACATTGCAAAGTAGTTCATAGAAGTTGGAAAGTAGCCTCTTACATGTATAACACATGTAAAAACAATATACTCTTCACATACATTATTACTCTACAAAAAAAATAAGCAAGGTTTAGCTTTTAGTGCCTTGCTCTATCCTGCCATGGCGATAAGCCAGAGAGTGGAAAAATATCAAATTCACCAAACATTAAAACAACAAAGAGAATGGAAAGTACAGGGAATTGTGCTCGCAATACAATTTTTAAAATGACTGTAGTTAGTTGATTAAAAAAAAATTCTCTTTTTTCCCCAAATACTAAAAAAATACAAATCTAATTACAGAATACAGATGTAGTTTATTTTTATAAACTATCACTTCCAAGATATCAGAAAATGAGAGTTAGAAGGTAGAAGGAGAAGGAGAGTTAAAGACAGAAAATGTTCAGTAATTATAAAATGTTAAACACAAAAGTTGCAAAACTTTCTGTTTATAGAATGCATCATTGCTAAAGCATTACGGGATTTTGTGGAAATATTCAGTATTATGAGGATGATGGGTTTATTATACATTTAATATGTGGCAATTTGTTGTTCTATTGATAGCACTTAATTGCTGATTGATACCATTGATAATATTGGTATGTTCCAATTTTTGAAATTATCAGAAACAGAATTTTCATCTCAATTTAATTCATAGTCCTATATCAAACCTTTGGAAATAAAGCAATTATAATTACCGTGCTATCAGTTGTAAGTAAACAGTTGTGTTTAATCAGACTGGAACATAGCGAAAATATATCTGAAAAGAGCAACTTTAATATCCCAACGTTGAACAGCAATTTTAGCAACATTAAAACCAATGTGCATTAGAACTGTTCTAAAAGTTTGCTTGGTTTTACAGAAACTCCACAAAGTCGTAGAAGATGCTTTTGAGAAAAAACATGCTATTTTTCATAGTTAACACATCTTTTACATTTTCTTTAAAAAGACTTTGGCTGTGAACAATCAGTTTCTGGTTTGCAGTCAATGCAACTCTATCAGTCAATTGATTTGTTTTCTCTTATGCATCTCCACATTTAATTACATCTAATTCTATCTGTATCATATTTGACTAAATTATGCCACTAAATAGAAAAAAAAATATTAAATGTTTTTAGATTACAATACATATGCCACTAATGCTTACTGTGTCTCAAGCACAAATACATACAAATACATGTTTTAAACTTTCTTTTGTTGGACACTGTATGTATTGCACTGAACTCTATATCAATTACTGGCAGAATTAGAAACAAGCTAGAGAACTAGAGAACTTGCCCAATTAAAGGATTAATGGGAAGATCTTTTTTTCAAAATGTGTAAATAGAATAACACCTTGTAGGTCATTGTAAATGTGTACTTTACACAGGTTTGTTTTAGAAAATAAATACACCTGGGCATACAGGCTTTATGCATTGTGCCAATCAGATCTAATCTTGATGCTGTACTTGCCCTAGAAAATATGAAAATGCATGCTAAACATTTCAGTGGTACTAGCAATGCAGCTTCTACACCTGGCTACGTACACTGAACTTTGTGCTAGTCTGCATCCACTGTACCTGAGGTCCACATGCTTGATGGACAGCAGTCTTAACATCTGCAGGTTGAGAGTGTTCAGGTTGTTCCCAGACATGCACAGTTTCTCCATAGCAGTCAGCCTCTCCAGCACAGAGGGCACCTCGGCGAACTCATTAAATGACAGGCCAAGGTAGCTCAGGTGCTGCAAGTCACCCAGTTCATCTGGAAGTGAATGCAGAAAATTGCCATCCAACAAAAAGGTCTGCAGGCTGTGGAGTGTGGGGGGAAAAAAACCAAAGATTTCTTAAAACATTTCCTCACAGCATTATGTCAAAGCCAAGCCTTTGTTGTTTACAGTTGCTATACATTTTATGAAATCTTAAGTATTTATGAACTCATCCCAACACAGTCAGGAACTTATTTTTCTAAATTTAGAATCACCAATTACACCCACTCATTCCAGTTTGGAATAGCCAGTTTCATGTTTTTTTGATATCTCTGCTTGCAGCTATGATCCCCATAAAATGACAGACCTCAGGAGACAATGAGAAATTGTTGACAGACTCCTCTAACCTGCCTACCTTTGAGCCACTTGTCTTTAACATGTCACAGATCACAAAGCATTATACCCAAGGCATTGATAGCTATATTTCTAATGACATGACAAAGGAAGTGAAAAAAGGATCTGTCAAAAAAAGTTTTGTAAGCTATTAGAAATTCTGTAAAAGCAAATAATTCATCCTGCAGTTTTTATGTTTTCATCTTCACACAAAATTTACTATAGGTTTCAGAGGCCTTATTTTTAAGTGTTTTACTGACTTCATGGGGGGACAATGTAGCATAGAGTTTAGGTCAATTGACATATAAATGGTGTGTTGGGGGGTTCAAGTCACATCTGCAGAGGTCTACCCCGATTTCTCCACTCCCCTCAGCTGTAAGAATGAGTCCCCTCATTTACTGGGGGAAGACATAGTGATGGACTGGCATCCCATTCAGGGGGGAAGTCATATATTCTTTGTCTGCTTAATGCCATAGAAACCAGCATAAGCCCTAGCCTGATAAACCACTGTGGTATGAATATGGAAATTACCTACTAATTTCATAAATGACAAAACCTGAATTTATAACTAAAGTAAACTCGCAAAACCTTTTGTACATTCCATATTACTTAGATCCAGCAGAAGCCTGTAGAGGGCACTAGTAGCTGCTTCTCCTGCTCTTGTGTTACACTGTCTTGGAAAGACTAGGAGTTCTAGCCCCTCTTCACTTGAATTTATAATACATCTTTACATCCTTGGTAAGTGCAACGCAGTATTAGACATGACAAATTAAACACCGATATATACATTTTTGGTGGAGGAGTATGAATATGTATTTTGCCTTATGAAGGTCATTTAAAAAAAATGCCACTTCCACTCCTGGTACTGTTGCCCTCAGTCTCTTTCAAGGCTAAACTGACATTTGGTTGCTTATTTGAACCTTTCATTGAATTAATAACTTTTTTCATTAGAACTGTTTTCTGCTCCTAGACGTTTACACGTTACTTCAGTTCATATGTAAAATAAATCTGACTATCCCAAAGCTGAAAATTCAGATAGAAAAAATTAGTAATTGACTCAATTTGGGATTCAGTTAAGGAACAGCACTGATGGACTGAAAACTGGCCGAAGTGTGGCACTGAGGACCTGGTGGACAGGCTTGATTTACAAGGTCACTTTCATATTAGCACACAGTTCTTTGCATTTAACTTCATGGCTAACAGAGACACCAGAAACAATTTGCTGTAACCTGAATTGTAGGCAGCTCCGCCATTAATTTCCCATGTTTAAGACGAGTTCAATATTGTGTTATTTTAAATTAAATTTTACCTTGCGTGCCTTTTTTGAGAAATGCCCTTTCAACATTTGTATCATAGTCAACCACACCCTATTCACAGAAGTAATCGGCATTTACTGTCTGAAACTACATGAAGGAGGAAGTACTAGGCAGCTGATTTAGATTCCGAACTTTCCTTAACTGCCTTGGGCCTTGTGACTCACTTGTGCATTGTCCCCACAGCAGCGTGCACAGCTGACAGACAGTTGCAGGAGAGGTTAACCTCTGTTAGAGTTGGGATATCACAGATTGCCACCGGGAAATCCCCCAAGTGATTATTGGAGAGATTGAGACTTTTAAGCTTTGAGAACCTGCCAAGGATATAAAAAAAACAAAAAAGAAATTAATGACATATTTCAATTTGAAATGCACTAATCAAAGATGACTGTATACACTTATAGAAAAACCAAGAACAAATTTTTAAGTGTAATCATCTAGGTCATGTCTCATGTGCTCTTAACAATTCGTGACTCATTGAATAACACAAGAGCCAAGCATAATATGAGATGGTAGCTATATCAACCTCATCAATACCTAAAGGTACAGTGTATACCAGAAAAATACTAAGAGAATGCACATATGCAATTTGCTACCACATGAAAACAAATGGCAAAATTAAATTTACAACATTACATTTTTTATTTTATTAAAAAAAACAGGGATTTTTAAATAATGTTATATTTTATATAACAATGTTATATTTTAAAATCTCAAATAATAAAATTAGTAAGTTATTCTACTTGGAAATGCCAAAGCTAGGTGTCAATCACTCTTATTTTTCCATATAGACTAGAAACTTTCATTTAAGAGTGCCCAGAAACTCTTCATTACATACACAGATTGTATGAGAATCTGCTGTGAGACTCTAATATTGTACTCAAGGCAGAACCACTATTCAAAAGATCAAACAGGAGTAGGCCAAGTGTTAAAATCCGTGCTACATTCAAGGGACATATTAAACAGCTTATTATAACACTATGCTCATTGTCTGCTGTTTCACAAAGAAGTCAAGATGTTCATTTGAAACTAAAATGAAAAAATAAAATAAAAAATAAACATACAGTAAAAAACCCCAAGAAAGTGGCAATCGAGGACTTTTTAAAAAACCTCTACAAATATGGCTCAGTGTTTCACTGCCAAAGTAGGGCAACAGAACAATTATTAAAATACAAAAGCATACATGGATTGCATGGATATGAATAGAGACACGCCTGAGCCTTAACATCTGTCTACTGAAATTCAAATTGCGAAAGCCTTCCTTAAAACCATTATGTACATGCAGCTCTGACCATGCCCTTTTCACTTTCTGAAGAACTGAAAGATGCCCCCTAGATTGGAGACGTTACCAAGTTTCCACAAAGATGTGTGAATCAGTTATTTGTAAAATCACTTCGAAGGAATATTGAGTCATAACCACAAACTAAATGTTTACAGGCAAAGGGAACTAATTAAGGAACACTAACAAGGGGACTCTAGCAGAAAAGTTGCTGAAGAAAAATTAGGGCATTCCTCATTTTTTTGCTTTAGCTCTCTCAGTATAGTCATATTATATTAGATTATAAAATATGCTGATATACATGCAACCTTAATAAATGTTCAATTTCAAAAATCTTTATAAAGGAAACTGACAGTTGCATCACATACTTTTTAATTAATAAAACTTGAATTTCTTTTTAATTAATAAAAATGAATTTCCCTCTAAAATATACAGATAAATACACAAAATATAAAAAAATAAAAACAAACAAAAACAGGAGTGAAGGGGATATGTGGCTGAAAGGTAGGTCAGAAACAGCACAGCAGCACTCATTTCATTGTGTATGAATACACACATCCAAGCCAGAACTATGGGGCATTATTCATGGAACTCTAACAATGTTAACAACATTATTATTGGAAAGATAACCCAACTCTATTATTAAAAGATGAAGCATTTTTTTTTTTAAAGACTGAAAATATTTTCATGTGCAGTCACAAAATTCAGGCTATTCCTCAGAGCATCATCATATGGTAGCTTGATCTTGCAAGATCCTGATGACCTTGTACTAGACAAGCTAGGTAGTCCTGACTGGGATATACCAGTGAAAAAATCTAGTGCACTTGCTAATGTGTTTTTGAACTTAAAATTCAATACCATATGGTTGGTTCCAGCTGAAGATTCTTCAGGCACTGTCACAGCTGTAGTCAGGGTGTGCCTGATGTCTCCCTACACATTTCAGGAGTATTCTGTTTTTGGATGGATGTGAATAAAGTGCAACGAAATTGCAATATTCCAGGTATTCCAGGAATTGTAATCACAATCCCTAAGTGGTGTCAACTTTAATGGGCGAGCAAGTGTAGCCAGTTTGCTAGTTTATCCAAAGTTAAACAAGTCATCATCCCTTGGCACCCTCGGGCAGGCCAGCAAGAGGATTGTAGAGTGGAGCTTTCTATCTTTTAACTCTACCAAACAGGATTTAAGCAGAGATATTTCATTCTTTGACTTTCTGATGCACCCATGGTTCTGGTGCTGCGCAAGCTGGATAATGTCCACCCACTTACTTTCTGTATCACAGAGGAGAAAGGTTGGAACACATTAAAAGCAGTGCATACAGAGATGAGATCTGGTTTCCAAGTCCCCAAGGGAACCCATGATAAAATCAATGAGTGAATGTACCCTAAGCTTAAATTCAAATTAAATATTTTAAAAAATGGGTAGGAATATCGGAGCTCCTAGACTAAGTTACCATCTTTGTCTGCCACTATAAGTCCAAATTTTATTATTTTTTTAATTTATGTATAAATTAATTCCAGATAGTCAAAGACACCAAGATGAACTTATATTCACTGTATGTAACTTAATCTCTTTAGATTTCCTAAGGTAATAGAACTACATATGAAATGCCAGCACAGACCAGCAATTTTTGAAGACACATATCTTTGTTGCCATCAGCATTTTTACTTTCATATCCTGAACTTGCCTAACATTGTGAATCTCATGACCATGAATGCAATGTCTAATAACAGGAGTCTCTCATCTTTGCAGCATGAATTGCAAAAAAATTGTTAAAATTCTTGTTAAAATTCATAAAGGCCTGTCTCTTGCCATTTCTGTTTATGTGACTGCCAGGAAGGAGGACTAATGGCAGGTTTCTGGTACCATGTGGGGTTCAATTTGGTATGGAATTACATGGAGTACAAGCTAAACTGAGATTCCAGTGAGACTTAAGGTGAAGGTGAACCTTGATGAAAGGCTTATGTATTAACCCCTACACACTTGTTAACCTTCGTCATGAAAGATTATTCTCCTTGTTCAGTTCTCATACAGGTCTTTCTCAATCCACAGCTCATGATAGGGCATGGGAAAGGCTTTAGCAGGATATCAGCTGTTGTACAACCAAAGAACTAGAATCACTGGACTGAATTCAACTCCTGCGCTTCACAGGCAAAGCTCTCCCACAGCATTTACCATCTAAATAATATACTATAAGATTTACACCAACTACAATATGGAATAAAACCCTTCAACTTGTGAACACCTTAATATTTTAATCAACACAAATGCTGTCTGAAATCTGGCTACAAAACACAGGTTTTAATCTGTAGGCAAATATAGATTTTGTCCCTCTATTCTTGTTCTTGAGGAATATTACTATGAACTAAAAAATTACATATTAGGCTGTTCTCACACAATTGCATTATAATTGATTAAAACTGCATTATAAATTAAGAATTAAAAAAACTGATTCACCAGTAAATCCTAATTAATTGGATGATTAATCATTAACAGAAGCTGCCTCCTGAAAGTGGGATGGAACCGCAGGAGAAGGAGGCCAGCAGAAAGAAGTCCAGGGTTCCAGGGCAGAGGCCAGGAGCCTTCGTGCAGACTGGAATGGAGCACTGCAGTGTAGAGTATGGTCCTGAGCTGGAGATAGAGTACACTGCTTCAGCATTGGGACGCCAAGGTAGTCGATGACAAACTCAGAGATCTAAACCCAGGTGAATCGGCCCATTGCTAGGAATTGGGCAGCCAGGGCTTCAGAGCAACAGAATCCTGTTGCCAAGCACTGAAGGAGAACGAGTTATGGACTTCAGAGCAGAATCCTGCATCAAGAACCAAGGAAAGGGGTACAAACGGACTTAGCATTTCAGGGTGAGATGACCACCCCGAAAAGCTGCTGAGGCATCTGCTGACAAATCGGGAGACCAGAAACAAGTAGTGCAAACAGGACAAAGTGAAATGAGTAATGATGAAGCACCATTGCATTCCCCAAGCATTAAACAGAGAAACAAGAATTAAATAATAAATTGAATAATTAATCATTAAGGCTGATCACCAGAAGGTGATCCAGTCAGTGCAGCCAGCCCTGAAAAATTGTGAGGTCTCGTGAGAATGGCAACCGCTAGCCAAGAGATGCCACAGGACAAAAGTCATAACAATAATTTTGTTTACCATAAGATAGTATTTGTTTTCCAATTACTAAATCAACTACACAATCAATTCACTTGTACTAGTACCAAACATTAAAGCTTTATGGTATTAAGTATATTAACAGATTGTCACTCACTGTCAGTCTATGTCAATAACTTGCCCAAGAAAATTAATCACAGATCAAAACATCCGGAGGCTTCTTGTTTATTCCCTTAGCTCTGCCATTAAATAGCTGCTGACAGCATTTTTTCATGCTGCTGTATCTAAAGACAGGCAGTCATGTAATTTAGTCACTGACAAATTTGTAAAAGTGGGAAATCCGTGTAAAATAATCACATTTCTTTCTCCATGAAATCTCTTGGTATGAATGTTCAAGGTGTAGCACCTGTTCAATATGTTCAGGAAAACTAAAACTAAAAATGCATCAAACAAAAGGCCGGATAAGGCAGGTACAGTAATGAGACTTCATACATGCCAAGTTCGATAAAAAAAAACATGGATATCAAACATTTTCTATTACTTTGCATTTTACAATCTTTTTACTCTCACTGATCAACCATTCACATTTTGTCTCAGCCAGCTACTAGACATCAACAACACATTCTTTCAAGAATCTGAATAGGGTGAAGTTCATGCCATGCTCAGCTTTTGGGTTTCCTTATCAACTCACAAATGCACAGTGATGTCTGTGATCAAGCTCTCTGTAAGACTTCAGAGGACACATAAAAGGCCTTTCTGTACAAACTCACTGTGAGTCTCCATTTACAATATTAATTCATCTGAGATCCTCTCATGTTTGGACTGTACTCACATTATTCTTCAAAAAAGGAAAAACTTGAGAAAAACAAAACCAATGTACAGTTTGTTTTATAAGATTTTCTGGTCTGCTGAGGTGAATTAATGTGAGTCAGCACCTTAATTAGTAACCTTTTTACTGAACAGTATCAATATAAAATTATTTCTTTTTTAATTGGCCAGATCTTGCTTTAATTCTCTGCTCTGTTTTCTGCTCTAGTCTTTCTAACATACAGCACTTCAATACATAATTTATAAGAAGGAAAACAAAATACAAGAAGCAAAACCAACAGCAGAGTAACAATAGAACTTTTCTCAATCTAATGCCATATATAAGAGAATCTATCTAAGCTCCTTATGAAACAATGTAACTATCCTTAAAAGTTCAATTTTCTACTCCTAGAACACTGTGGTTAGAACCGTTAGATAAATATGCTTCTCTCATGGGAACTAAAAATATTCTCTCTTCCACTTGAATCTCTGTGTTTCTTTGAGGCCTTTATTATTGTTGGTTTGAAGTTTTAAATAAAAAAAAAACAGGAAAAGTTACATCTCTGTTCTCAAAATACAAAGCTTAGGTTTTCCTTAAAAAATACTTTAAGAAAGATAATGTGAATCAAGAGTTCAGCTGGAGTTCATTTTTTTCTCCTGGCAGCAGATCCTAGAGAAAGCCAGTGTTAAATCTTCCCTTGTCAAACTTGTGGCAAGACTTTACACAAGGATTACACCGATGCAAGGGATTTCTCTGGCCTGTGTTTCCTGGGATAAAAGGACAACATTCTAACAATGAAAAGCAGTAAACATCTATTAGAGATGCAAGTGGGAATCAATTTAGGATTTTTCAGCAAGTGAGGCTTCCTGGTTAAGTTACACTAAACAAATAGGCCTGCCTCTTTTGTCAATGGCACAATAAAAACTGAAGATGATATTTAGTCCCAATAGGATGGATCAGGTAGTATACAAACTTGGGAAACTACAAACAACCAAAAGTGCTGTAATAAACAACAGAAGAACAGCTCTCCAGTAAGGCAGTGCTTCCCAAACTTTCAACTTGTGGCACATTGTAATATCCCAAAGTCTTCATTGCACATTGTGATTTGAAAACAATCAGCACAGCTGCAATTTTAAAATAACTTTTCCTTTGAACTGCATACTCCATATGTCATTCTACCTCAATGTCCAATTGCCCCATGACTTTTCAGATATAGGCTTTGATTCAAGGCTCACCCATGACTAGTTGGATTTTTTTTCTGTCCTACAGCCTGGAAGCCAGTTTGCACAGTCTCATATGTCTTCTTACATCACCACTGTATTTAATTTGGTTACAGGGCTTGCACGTAATGTACATACAAAAGCTCCTTGTCTTTTTTTTTTTATTCTTTTGTTGCAAAAGCTTTTTCATCATGTTACAACCCTCTGCTTAGATCCCTCCAAATCAAATGTAAAAAAGCACCACTTCTTGAGCTCACTTTAATTTAATGCATCAACAATGGTTATTACAGCATTGCGTGATGTTCATCTCTTCTGACAGGCATTTAGGACTGGGGTAGTAGCCATGGGCTTGGGAATTGCTAATGGAGTGCCCATCCATAAAAAGGGAAACAATAATTACACATGAAAAAGTGGTATTTCAATTACTTGTAAGGTTATATAAAGAATTAGTAGAATTAAATCAGAGGATCATCTAGATGGAAATATTATTTTTCTATAAAGATTTACAAAAGATAAGTCTTGTTTAACTGACTTGTTACTATTTTTTGAACCAGCAACAGCAGAAATTGGTACACACAGAGCATATGGCATCAAAAATTCAATTTTTCAGAAGGCTTTTGAGAAAGTTTCTCATAAAAGATTCATTCTTAAAATTACAGGCAGGAGGCATTCAGGGAAATGTGTGTATCTGGATTGAAAACTGGTGAATGGATTGAAAATGAAGTACAGATAAGAATTAATGCTCAACAGCTAGAATGATTTAATTAGTGGAGTAACACACAGATCTATAATAGAAACGCTGTTCTTCATCATCTTCTTCATTTCAATGATCTAGATTATGGTATAGTTAGTAAATTAGTTACGTTTAGACAATTCCAAAATAAAAAGATGAGCAAACTCTAAAGAAGAAGCAAAATGAAATCTGAATTCAGATAAAATTCAAAACTGAGCAAGCATTTGGTACATGTTGAAGATAGACAAGTATAAGCTATTATGTACAGGTTGCAAAAACAAACAATAAATATAGAAAAGGAAATGCTAAACTTGAAGAGACTACCTATGAAAAGGACTAAAAATATATTTAATAAGAATAATGACTCTTATTATATTTAACAAGTGAGAGGTTGATCAAGAAAACAAAAAAAGGCAAAAATATCCTTATCTACAGTTTTAATATAAACTTAACAGGTGGCAGGCATAATGTCTTCAAGAGGTATTGGCAAGAGACATATTACAATCAAACCAAAAACCCACATCACAAGGGGCCTGCAATTCTTGAAATAAAGCGTCTTAAAAATGCTCAAAGGCCAAATACAATTTCACAGATTTAATCTCCCATGGCTTCCAACAGTCCTTAGTGAGTAATGAAAACACAAATCATCATCTGTGACATTCACATACACAAGGATTTTTGCAGTCAGGCCAAAAACTCCTGAATAAAAAAGAAAGCATGTAAACAGAATTTAAAAAATGTAGGTGATGTTGCTGACAGTTCTGACACTGTGCTCAGTCAAGAACCACCCTAATTTTAATCGGCAGAAATTTCGTTCATTACAAGCTCAGGGTCACCCAAGAAAACCTGAATCCAACGAAAGAATGACACAGAACTGTGCTTCCTTTTAATCATCCACTCCCAATCATCCCTCTCTTCCTTACTTGCACAAGTACCAGATGGTGCCTTGTGTGTGAGCTGAAGGATAATAGAATCTCTCCTATTTCTAGACCAGTCAATCTTTTCCGACCCTCCCTTCACCAGCCCCCCTCCTTCCCAGATTACAAGTCATGGGATGCGTGTGACAGACAGGACAGAAAAAATCCTTTGTTACCTCTGCAGTTCACTTAGGCCTCTGCTGGCCACTGGGCCCAGGCTGTGCCTTAAGAAGTTCTGCTTGAGGTTGAGGTGCGTCAGGTCTTGGCTGTAGAAGAGATTGGCAGGCAGGTGCTCAAGGCTGCAGCAGGACAAGTCAACTGAGCTTATCCGCTGGGACACAATCTGAAATCATAGAAAGAAAGGAAGATTTAGGGGTAGGGAGAGAACTTTCAAGAAGTGAAAAATCACTACTCTAAATAAGAACACTATCATAGAAAATAACCACAATCTTTTTAAAGTTTCCCCATTACTCCTAAAACACTTGGATAAGACCTTGTGAACATCCTTGTGAAATAAGTCTTGATTTGTCATCTGTCGTAAAGGGTGACAGCTAGACGTAATTAGTATTTAAAATCCAGTCTGGCCACATTTCTGAGAGATTTACTGACACAAAAACAAACAAGTTGTATAATCTAGAAAGGATAAAGGCAGATAAGGAAGCAGTTTACAAATGTTTCATTCATATGCTCAAATGCATATCTGAAAGATATCAAGTGCAAACACAAATTTGACTTCCATGTTTTACACTACAAAACATTAAAAGAAAGCTGCCTGTATGCTGTTCTTGTCATATTATCCATGTAATAAAACATTAACTTATGAAAGAACACAGCAAATAAACCAAGAACTCTTTAAATGGAATTTCATGGGAATTTGGTTCATTGCCATTAAGTTTTGCCATTGAATGAGAATGACAAATGCAACACATCTAACACCCCAAACCTGACTTGGCTGACAGTTATATTTCTAAAAAATGCACAGCAATGGCATCCTGAACATTTGGGATCTTCACTGGAAACCAAAAAAAAAACAATGTTACATAGATGATTGTTACACATGTTGTGTAAAGAGAGGGGATACTACAGTATCAGTGGTGAATGGAAAATTGATAGTACTGCAGGCTTCACCTAACTGTTGTTAACAGTAATATTAATCATGAACACATGTAAAATATGGTTCAATAATTCTGTTGCAGTTGCTATTTCCTTCACCTACTCAGAGGTCTCTGTATCATGCTCTGTTTAAGCATTCACCCAGTGTGAAACATGACGATTATAATGATCATTAATTACCAGATTAAGGAGTGAGCAAATTCCCACGGGGAGACAAATCAGGCTCCACAGAAAGCATGCCAGGAACACTACCGATGAACACTCGCTGACATTATTTGGGAGTCATTTGTTTTTTTTTTCCCCCATTAAATATTTTGTGTATCCCCTGTGAGAATTACATTTTTCATTTTTTCATTACTGCAACCACATTCTTAAAATTTGTGTTAAATTTACTAAACAGAACAGGCTATACTGTATAATGATTATGAAACATAAAATGACATGTTGCATACATATGCAACCAACAAGTCAGAAATGGCATCATGTTCAGCTCTAAGAAGGTTCTATAAAAACACTTTAATTCATAAAATGTCTAAACTCACATTTAGTACAAAAATGACTTGAATGAGTGGAACAACACAAAAAAATAAAGATCATTATCCTTATAACACTATAATTTGATATTAATAGAAAATATTGTAGTGCACTAAACTTAATTTCACAAACAAAAAACATAACTGAAACCTTCATTTATTTGTTCATGAGAAAGAAAGCTTCCAAACTATGGTGACCACTGCCATTTGGAGACAAGGGGAGACAAATGTAAAAAAAAAAAGATTAATACAAACCAAACTGGGGCTAAAACCAAATAAGCCAATGACTCTGTGTGACCTTTAGCTACCCTTTAGACCCAATTTATATAAACCAAGCTCCATGTAAATCTCAGTAATTATCAAGAAAGTAACAAGGGCTTTTACTAATCTGCACCAAATAGAAGAAAGGCCTAGCTATGTTGATAATCTTAAACACTGCTTGTCTCAGACTAAAATACAACTTTACATTTTTACCTTTGTTCCTTTTATTACCTGAATTCTAAAATGCCTAAAAGATAAAAAATAAAAATAAAAGATAAAAAATGCCCTAAGAGGTCATTTAGACCTTCGTACCTTTTATTACCAGAATTCTTAAATGCCCAAAAGATAAAAAATGCCCTAAGTGGTCAGGACCCTTTTGACATGCTAAAGAATAATTTAAGATGTTATTTGTTAATATAGCAGAAAGTTCACAGAAACATGTCATTTTACATAGTAGTAGATATACTGCTAAATACTGTTGCTTGCTTTGGTAGTTTCCGGAAATGCTTCTTAAAAACCCCTTCAAGTCCAGATTTGGCGGTGAAACAAAATATGTAAGAACACCAAGATTACAAATGTGAGGAGGCCATTCAATACACATAAATGGTCAGATTTGCTAGTAACTAATTCATTGATGAATCTTGTCCAATCCTCTCTTGAAAAAAGTCAGGAGTATGCTTCAACAACATGGTTAGGTAGCTTGTTCCAGACTCCTATAACCCTTTGTGTAAATACAGATAAACAACATGTAAATCCATGTATACAGCCATGTCTACCACTGAGTTGTAGCTGGCGATGTCTCTCTTGTAATGTGAGGAAAATTAAAATCTTCCATGATAACCACTTCTTTCTGTGTACATATGTTCCTGTTTTTTTTACATTAATTCAATAATTCCTACAAGATATAGGTCCTTCTTTAAATATTAAGGTGGAAAGCAGTAAATGTCTTACAGCCATATCAAGGTCTTGCTTAAACTAATCAGCACTGCTATTGTTTAGTACATTAAAGCATTTGTGTGACTTAATAAAGTGGAATGCAATAGTAATTATTAGACAATTTTCCATAGATACAATCCTTCTGGCTAGAATACAATTGTGTATCCTGACTTGTAAAATGACAGGTATAGACACAGTTCATACAAGACCAAAAAAAAATGTTTTGGGAATTCATTCTTGTTGTAGGTCTTTTAAGATATTACCGCTTTGCCTAACAATTTCACTTACATTTAGTGTACGCATTTACTGAAAAAGGATAATCATTTATGGATTTTAAATCCATTATTAAATTGTTGCCAAAGATCCAGTTTTCTAAAAATATTGAAGAGATTCAAACTTCCACAACAATGTGTACTAGTGTGGATAAGTACAATGACTACTTTCAAAAAAGCAGCTGGCATAGAGCATGTTACAATCATCATGTAATAACTCAGGAACTGACTTTTCACAAACTTATATTCTTTCTATTAAAATATTATTTCTGTAAAGTGTAATTTTACATGTTAATCAAAATTAAAATGACAGCTAGAAAATGCTAAAAGGTATAATTCAACCTGCTGGTATCGCATTTAAATGTGCAATTAATAACCTTTAAATAAAGGTTATTAAATCTTAATTAAGCATTATCTCTATCACAAGGGAATATAAAGTTTTGTTGGAAACACGGCAATGAGCAATTCTGTAGCACTACCCTTACAAAACACCGCATGAAAATACTCATATCTGAATCTGTGAAATGTCAAACACTACACGATTCCAGGAAAACCATAAATTAGTCTTGTACCAGAATGGTGTATGTAATAAAATGTTTCATATAGTATTCTAGCAGGAATGTTTATTAATAAGACATGGAATTAATCATTCTTGTGGGTTTGATTGAGCCACAGAATAGCCTACTGATCCTTGCATGCCGAAACGCAGGGAAGGTGAGCTTGTTTGATAAAGAGCATCTCTCAGGGGCAGTGACGCGACCCAGGACAGTGCTTCCCATGATAGATGCCCACTCTGGCTGCCTGGATGTTTAGCACAGAGCGACAGGCACATCTGGACAATGGTCTTAAAGTCACAGAGCATGGCAAATCATCTAAAAGATGACCAATCAGGGACATGTAGAGTACAGATGCCCACTCCACCTGATGACTTCTTGGCCAATTACCAACGTTTTTGGTATTTTCCCCATATGACTGCAACTACTGTTATCTAAGCCATGGTACTTAAACTTTCGCTCTAAGCGCCAAACTAGGAGAAAGCCCCTAGATAAGACAGAATTCTGCCAACAGCAAGACCTTGCTAGAAGCTAGCTACCACCATGCATCTACTTGATCACCAGAGCAATACAAATGTCGACTTTCAGCAACACGCCTGAATATTTCATTCTTCAGAAGAAGCCACCACACCAGGAGTCGAGTTGCTCCCCAATTAGTGACTTGTCTTGAAGAAGTAGTCACCCTTGTGCATGAACGTTATCCTGATTTAACTCAATGCTAACCAGGAGGTTCAACTATCAGCTTGAGACTAAGGCAGAACTTTCATTCTCCACAACATTCTGAACTGCACCAGAAATGGATGGCATTGGGCCAGCAGAAAACGGTTTGGACTTCACCTCAGCAGACCCCGTCAGCTGTTCTTTCTCCTTCATTGCAGGAGTTACAAAGTCCACTGTCATGAATGAGTTCAATTCATTATTCAACATTATCGGTCTTGAGAATTCAATTGTTTTCTTAACATGCTGTATTTGATTGCAAATAAATTAATCTAAGTAATAGTATTTACTTAAAAGTATCTGAATGTTGTGAATGATTAATGCGACTGATTAATGATTTAGTATAACTGATGGTATCCAAAATGCATAATGATTGTATTTGTTTTATCACTTCTTAACCTTGATATTTGCTATTTCTTGCTAACCCTCATGTGAACAATCTGCTTTTTGTATGTAGGCAGACTGCTTCATGGATTCTATTTGTATGTTTTTATGTGCACATTAAAAGTATTAATAAATTTATTCCTTTTATTTTGGATCCATGTGTCGTCTGCTTGTTATTGTGTCGACTGATTCCCAATAGCCAAGAATAGCTCATACAATAACAATTAATAAATTGTGCCAGTAAATTCACACAACTCCTACACTATACAGCTTTGATTTTGTCCCCCCACTTTGCTTCAAACTGTAAGCCTACCAGATCCCAATCCAGATGGCTTTTAATAAGGCTTTTAAAATCAGAAAATACTTATTCAATCAGTCTGCGTTCACTTTCACAGTGATGATGCTACACAATAACAAAATGTTGTGGTTTTGTAGAGTAACAATAAGGACTGGATTTAAACAGATGCAAAAAGACTAGGAGTTTTTTCTGCTACAATGTGTGTTTATAATGCAAATTGACTGTAACGAGATTGATTTATTAAGGAATGTTTTTTCCATAACGTGGGTGCATGT